AGGCTGGTGAATGCCTAATTACCCGCTCTACTCTTCTATAACCAGTTTCCCTAGCTCGGATCTCAATACTCGACGCGTGATATTCTCAATCTCAGTTGTTTTTCTCTTCCTCTTTACTTCGATGGGATCTGATTTGATGATAACAGGCTCCTCAGGTGTAATTATTTCTTGAAGCATTGGTTCGGGTGATATTCCTGTTTTCTCGATTTTGATATTATTAGGATACCAGTCGGGCAAGTTCGCATCTTCGATTGAATTAGCATATGAGTATAGGTTCTCAGACTTCCATATTTTATGAGTCTATAGACTCGCCACTAAGGGCCTGCACTTTGGGGTACCAATTTAATACCACTCCGAAACTTTTTTAGACCCACCTTTTAGCTCTTTGACATAAAGTATTACTGTAATATCGTCCTTGGCCAATCGTGCAAGAGCTGGTTTTGATTTGGTAGGCTTCTCCGACTGTTGTGAATCGGGATCTTTGCTGCTTCTTTTTGGTACCATCTTGAAATAAAATTATTATTTTGCAGTTATAAGGTAATTATATTTGTTTGAAAAAATTACTTATCTTTGTTTAATCGATGGTGCTAATCGAAAAAAAAAAATTATTCAAATACATATGCACTAACTTGGATAAGGGATTTTGTTACCTCTTATAATGAGTAAAAGAAAAAATTCAAATCGAAAAATAATTATCTGATTAATTTATCTTGAACATATGTCACGGGCAATGAAAATGATTCAATTTTGGGTTGTATCGTGGAGCATATTATAGCAGAAAAATAACTAGGCATTCGTCAGCCTCTGGTTAATAACTTGATAAATAATTATACATTCTCAAGATCGGAAGAGTCAGTTGCAGATTTGGATGTACAATCCTCTAAGCCAGCTAAAAAAATTAAATATGACAGATAGGTAGGCCGACTTGCTTTCCTATATTGGATAAATATAATTCATTAAACGAAAAATTATCATGCAGTATCACTTTATATAACTCGATAATTGATTTTTCTTTTTTATTCTGTAATATCATTTCGGACGTATAACAGCCTTACACATGTGCTTATCATCTGATTCTGAACTAAATGTGGAAGAACCATTTGAATCGGAAGTATCAGAATCAGAGTTAGAAGAAGTAGAGTCGTAGAATTCATTAAAACTATTTTTAGTAACACACACTATAACCCTCCTCCCTTTCTTCTCAGCGAGATTTTTAATACGGAGAGTTGTTCTTA